CTCAGGGAAATTTTAATTAAATAGAAAAAGCTCATTTTGTAGGAGACGCGCAGACTGAAACGCCATCTAGCGGCAGTCTATTGCGGGCTTCGCGTCGAGGGGGCCGAGGGCAAAGAAAGGAGGTGATTGGTTCTGAGTGGCGTGGAGTCGGTGGAGTAGTAGGCCGAACCCACCTCTCCTCCCACGATGCTATGGCAGTCACAAATTTGTGGGAAATTTGCAACCGTTGTGTAGCACGGGTAGATGTTTCCTGACCATGTGTGGCAAAATTCCTTCACGCCGCGTGGAGATTTTCAGGCAGTGGACTGCGCATGCGCAAGTACACTTCTCCGCCCACGGTCACGGAATTTATACACCCAGTGCTGGTGATGTTTTACCCCTGTGGGTGTAGAAAAGGAACATTCCCTCCAGCAAGGTGAAATTAATTTACCCAGAGTCGGTTAAAATTCACCTGTGTGTGTGTAAAGGGTAATTCACTACCCAAGTAGTAATTTTGTCTCACCACATTATAAGAAATTTACACCCTATCGAGCTAAATAACGTTTTACTCACCCGGTGGGTAGGTAAATCTGAATTACATACCAGAGGGAGAAATTTATCCACACATGGGTGAACAAAATTACCCTGGATTTTTTACAGTGCAAGTGTTCCCGCCGAGGGAGCTCCACGTGTAGGGAAGGGTCAGGAGGTTTAGGCGTCGTTCGAGGTTGGGTCCGCGGGCCGGCGCGGCGCGGCGGGGCACGCATCAGCTGATCACTTTCTCTGTGCCTTGCACCGCGTGCTCGCGCCTCACCTCCACTACTCCCACTACTGGGCTGGGCCCTGCGTCAAGGTGGGGAGGGGGAGGGCGCTGCCGGGCTGCCGGGCCCCTCCTGGGCCGCCCGCCCCGCCATGCCCCGCGCTCGCTGCCCGCTCGGTTCGGACGCACGGGCAGGCGGCCGGACGGACGGACGAGACGGCTCAGATGTGGCAGTCGTGCGCAGAACGTCGTCGCTCGCCGGTTCGGTTCGCGGTTCCCATTGACACTCCGCCACCTCGGTGGCCACCTCCTCCGTGAGCTGAATCGGTTTGTCGCCGCGTCGTGTTCTCGTGCGCGCTCGAACAGCTGGACCCCTATGGCCTCCTGGTGCCGCGCCGCCGTGTCGTCTGCTGCCCTGTCGTCGTCTGCTGTCGTGCTGCGGGGCTCCCCCGGCCGTTTCCCCGTCACCTGTTGCTTCTAGAGTCGCGGGCGTCCGCGAAGACGCGCGGCACAGCTTGTCCCTGCTGAGAGGTACGGTCCACGGTTATGTGTAAGCGGGGGTGAGGTGTATGAGAAGCGTCGTTGAAAGCGCGAGGAGAATGGTCAGCATGGTCTTGGTGCGCCGGGTGCGGAGCGGTGGTGAGCAGGGCGAGCCGCCGGCGGCCCCGCGGTGAGAGACGGAGTGACGCAGCCGTCGACCAGGAATGTGATGTGCCTGCGCTCCAGGTTCCAAGCGGGAGATGCGACCGGCGTCGCGCCGTCTGGCGAACTCTTTCGTTTCTCGACGCGCGGCGGCACTCGCCCGAGCTTATCACCCTGTCACTTTTCCTTCCCCTCACTGCACTGTCTCCACGCCTTTCCTCCCGCGTCCCTTCCCTCCCCCTCACTGCACTGTCCCTTTCCTCGCCCCCCATACTCTCCCCCGCGCCTCTCCTGGCCGTCACTCTATCACTTTCGCCGTCCGCGCCCCGTGCGACGTGCGCATTGTTTCGTCGGCGGCCTCGCTGATGCGCCGCCAGACATCATAAGGAAATCGATGTCCCCTTGGAGGTTAATAAGTCCCTCGATAGACACCTGAGTGCTCATCGAGAGGCGAGGTAAGTCCTTGACTCGACCGTTGACTTGGTGGTGTATGGCTCCTGACGGTGAGCCACCCCGGACGATAAGGGCAATACTATAAGGGTGACTCTGGGAGTGCTTCTCTGGCCAGTGTCAGTGCTGCACCGTGCCGACACGGTGCATAGGGGCAGTCCTAACTCCGCAGGGAAGCGTTATGGACGTGATCAAGTAAAAGCAATCAGGGCGCCTGTTATGCGCGGTTTGCTCTCTTCATTTCCGAACTGGAGCAAATCCGTTTATCGGGTCGCGGCGCTTCTAGACATCATTGCCGCCAACGGCAAAGAAAAAGCATGAGCGGAAATTATACCTGTTGGGAAAAAGAAAAGAAACAATTATCTTAACTCTCTGGTGCTTCTGTTGCAGTGTGGACCCGGCTGCGACCATGGTGACAGAGACCGTGGTCAGTAACGCTGCCAAGGAGCTGGAGGCGAGGCAGCAGCCGCAGGAGAAGGACATCCCCCCGCCAAGAGGTAAGTTTGCCGCAGCCTGCTCCTCCAGGAGGTTCTCCTCCCGGACTCCAGGTCCAGGGCACGCGGCCCGTCTTGGGCAGAGCCGGGTAGAGCGGAAGGGAAGATTTTTTTTTAAAGGCCAACGCGTGGCGCGGGCTTCGCATCCTGGTGCGTGTCCTGCCGCGCGGGTCGGGCCGGGGTCACGCCATCAACAACGCACACCTTACGTGTCGGATTTCTTTCGTTATTTCTTTCCCCCCATACCTTTCTGTCGACCCGTCAATAAGTCTGTTTGGCGCCATCAGTCAGCCTGTGTGTGGTTATCATTTGATTTTGCACTCGGACCACGAACAGCGAACTCGTCCGCCGGGTGTCCATCACAGACCCAGGAAGCTCCCCGCGACCGCCGCGCCGCTACGGTGGGATCCCCATTTATGCAAAACTGCCAGGCGTGTGTCTTTCGCATGTGAGAAATGATCAGTAAATTGCAATGCTCTCCCGGCCCTCTCCTCCACTCCGACACGTCTGTCGGCTGTCGGTTGGGAGAATAGCCACCCGCGCGCCGCCCCGGACCTAAGTATATCCATCGTCGCTCAATCACTGTAGACCACTTTTTTGACACGGATCTCGCGGCGTGATGTGATGATGTAATCTGTCCGTGTTTTTGAGACCTGACCTGACGGGACGGGCGTGGCTCGCAGGCTCTCTCCCCGCCTGTTCGATCGCTATTAAAGCGATGGTTCACGGAGGGAGCGAGGAAGGGATTCGCAGAATTGGCTGAACGCGAATTAGTTTAGCGGGCGCCAAGGCCCCCCGGCTGCTGCTGCTGCTGCTGCGCCGCTCGACCCCCCCGAATTGGACAACGCTCCGCCAATGCCAATGAGGTCGGCCGCCCGGCCCCGGCCATCCCCAACGGCGCGCGCAGAGTCCTGGTCGCGACGGCAGTCCCGCGGAACACGCCACTGCTTTATTCGCAGAGGAGTGGAAGGAGGGGGTGAAAAGAGAGGGTGAGTTTGGTTGTGGTTCCGGCTGCTCCGGGCGGCGGCGGCCTCTTCCTCAGCGCGGCCGGGTGACTTTCCGTAGCGCCACCCACCCCGCCTTGTGCTTGGCGCTCTGCGGCCCGCGGCGGCCCATCCAAACGCGAGTTTAGTGGCTGTCACCTCCGGCGCCCCTGGAAAAGGCCCGGAATAAGGAAGGAGGCGGAATGTGTCAGCGAGTCGAGGGAGGAAACCTCCGGCTGTGACTCCCCCTTGGTGTGTGTGTGTGTGTGTGTGTGGTGTGGAGCTGTCACGGGAGGAAACCTTCCAACCCGTACCTGTAGAAGGTCAGTCTGGTCCTCCTCCCGGCAGCCGCGACTTACGGTCGCGAGAGGCGCGTTGCGTTCTGCTTAGCCGACAGAGGAAATTTATCACCCATCCACGGCATGGAGCTAGCCTAGTTTGCACCCGACTGACAAAACGTAGGAGTACGTGCAGCAGCCCGTAGTGGCTGAGCTTTAGTCGTTAGTGTGCTAAAATTCTCAAATGTAACGGTTAAAGGAATATAGTAATAGTAATGTACAGATGGAAGGCCAGGGAAGAACAGGAAGGGGGGGGGGGCACTGGAAAATTTAAAAATGACCAAAACAAGTTTGGATTTAGATTTTCCGATGACAGTTTTAGTTCTCAGTTATTGGAAGAGGGAGTGTGATGACTTTTGACTTCTACAAATAAATGCTGTTAGCAGATTCAACTTACAATGTAACAAACAGTAGGACAAACAAATATCGTATAACTCTG